CACCCCATCTCTCAAACCCCAAGATATACAATCCAACGTACCTTATTTTGCTCCACAAGGTCCCAAAACTCATCTTGACCATACATCATTTTCCATGAATCCTCCTTAAAGTCTCTTCCATATGGGCGGCTCAACTTGTCCCACTCTTGTCCCCTAAATGTTGCTTCACTTGTCTTAAACCTGCTCGTCTTCCTGCCGACAACTTTACCTTGTCTTTGTCCCAAATTTATGCACTTTCAACAAATTATTTTTTTTCATAAAAAGAAAAAAAATATTATTCTTCTATACCCCCACCCCACCCCCACTTAAAAGCCCTTTGTCTACAAATTTCCTTTTTCCTTTCTCTTTATATAACGGCAACCAACCACTTGCAAAGACCTCATCTTTTTCTTGAAATACAACAAATTGCATTACACAACTTCTTCTTTGTACCAAAGGATAGTAAATAAAGGAGCAATCTTGATCAAGAAAGTGTTTTGAAAATTTGGGGGTTTTTGTGTTTTGAGATTTGAGGTTTTAATTTGGTGTTTTGGGTATTTCAAGAATCAATTTTTTTTGGAGAAAAAAAAATGACAAGTATAGTGGGAAATCAGAAAGATCTGAATTTCAAAGCTACTGAGCTGAGGTTAGGTTTGCCTGGTACAGAAGATCAAGAATCTGACCAAGAAATATCAAATTCCAAGAATAACAACAAAAGGGCTTTGCCTGAATCAACTCATGATGAAGAAGATTGTGAATCTAAGTCAAGTTCTGATCATGTCAAAACCCCACCTGTTGCCAAGTAAGTTTCTTGAAATTCGAGAAATTTTAGTAGCTCAGTTGGTTAGTTAGCTGAATTTTGATGGTTCCATCTTTTAAAGTCTGTGTGACATATTGGTCATAGTTTGAGTTGTGGACGAAGTTACTAATATTTGTATTAGAGTAGATTATGGGGTGTTGTAAATATTTTGTGCATTAGATACCCTTAAAAATCTAAACTTTTTAACCCCTTTTGACTCAATTGAAGAAATGAGGACTTATAATATGTTGTTGTCTGGTTTGAGTCGTGAAAGTAGTCATTAATATATGCATTAGGATAGATTGTGGGGTGTGGTCCTTTTTCAATCTCTGCTAACGTGAGATGTTTTGTGCACCAAACACACTTAAAAATCTAAACTTTTTAACCCCTTTTGACTCAATTGAAGAAATGAGGTCTAATAATATGTTGTTGATTCATGTTTGCAGGGCACAAATTGTGGGGTGGCCACCAGTGAGATCTAACAGGAAAAACATAATCCAACCAAAGAAAACAGAATCTGAATCTGGAATGTATGTCAAAGTTAGCATGGATGGTGCCCCTTATCTAAGAAAAATTGATGTGAAAATGTATAAATGTTATCAAGAACTACTAAAAGCCTTGGAAAACATGTTCAAACTCACCATAGGTGAATACTCAGAAAGAGAAGGCTATAAAGGGTCTGAATTTGCCCCTGCTTATGAAGACAAAGATGGTGACTTGATGCTTGTTGGTGATGTTCCTTGGGAGTAAGTTCTTGAAATCTTGAATGTATATCATGTATATAATTTATGTATATCGGCTAGAAAAACTCGTATTTTTGTGTAATTCTAATGGGGTTTTTGAATTCTATTTTTTGCAGAATGTTTATGTCTTCTTGTAAGAGGCTGAGAATAATGAAAGGATCAGAAGCAAGAGGCTTGGGATGTGGAGTTTAACTTATAAATTATATAAATTCCCAAATAGAACATTATGATGATGAAGAAGTTTTTTTTTTTCTCTTTTTACAGTAAAAAGAGTCTTTTTTTCACCTTAGGTTCTTGATTAAAATGAACCTAAATATTGTAATCAAAACAGTTTTTTCTCTGGACAGAAAAAACCTTAGTAGTTACAGTTTTATTAAATTTTGTTGTTTTTATTTTGGAGTCAATATGATTAATATAAATATATGTATAGCAGGAAAAACAAACCATGGGTGGTTTAAAGATCCTGCAAGTGTTATTTTCTTGTTTTTTGTTTTGGAATAATCTCATCAAACATACAATATAGTATACTATATATGTTTTTTTTTCTTTTTGTTGCTAAGAAAGCAATTGTACAAATTCACAGTAAATACTGTTTTTGGTTTACTCAAATGTGTTGCAAAATTGTTATTTTTTAAATTTGTTTTATATTTTAAACAGAATTATTGTTTTGCAATGATTATAAGAAGTCAATTTTGATTTTGTTGCCCTAGAAATCATAATAGAACAAGAATGATGACTTTAGCAAATTGAGTGTTTATTACCAAGAATTGAGAAATACTTAATTAACTTGTTTTATATTAAATATATATAAGACAAAATAATCAATACACCAAAGTTGAATAGAGGAATATAATACCCTTCCTTTCCTTTTCTCTCCTCTCCTTTCTACAATAATTTGAATTAGATTCACTAAAGAGACTAATAACAAATTTTATATAGAAAAAAATGTTGATTTCCATTGCTCGAACCCGAGCTCTATTTCATACTTACAACAAGAAATAAGAGGATATGGAGTATCCTTCTTTATAATATTCTAAATTTGTGTTAGGTGACAGGTTCACCAAATAGATAAGTAACAAATTTTCTATAAAAAAACTCATTATACTGATTTATTTAATAACTAATTCCTACATAATTTTAATCAACTATCAAACGATTTCTAAAAGAGGATATGGAGAATATTTTGAATTTGTCCGGACCAATTCACTAAGAGGTAGGTTTCATCTCCATTGTTCGAAGCCTGACCTCCATTTCTTACCTACAACAAGAAATAAGAGGATATGAAGTATCCTTTTTATTATATTGTGAATTCGTTCCAGACACATTTGTTTAAGAGATGAGGTTCATCCCATTGTTCGAATCATGACCTCCATATTTCATACCTACAACAAGAAATAAGAGGGGATAATATATTCACCTGTTATCCATCGACTATGTCTTTCGGCCTGATCTTAGACCCTGACTCAGCTTCTATGGATGAACCTTGCGGACGTACCCTTAGGTTTGTGGGGTGGGGTGGGGAGGGGGTGGGGGGGAATCCTTCCTACAATATTCTAAAATTCGTCGAACATATTCATTAAAGAGATAAATTTTATCCTCATTGTTCGACATGACCTCCATTTCATAGCTACAACAAGAAATAAGAGGACATATAGAATCCTCTCTTTAATATTCTGAATTCGTTTTGGACATATTCATTTATGATAAGTTTCATCTCCATTGTTCGAATCATGACCTCCATTTCATACCTACAACAAAAAAATGTAAGTGTACGGTGAATCTTTCCTATAATATTCTAAATTCGTTTTGAATAGATTTACTAAAGAGATAAGGTCAATCTCTATTGTTCGGACCATGACCTCTAATTCATACCTACAACAATAAGAGGATATGAAAATCCTTCCTACAATATTCTAAATTCGTCTCGAATAAATTTACTAAAGAAATAAGTTTCATCCTTATTGTTCGAACCATGACCTTCATTTTATCAATTGTGTTTACTTTCATTCTTGTATCCAAAGGTGAACTTATATGAACCCAATAACATTATGTTAACCTCAAACCAAAAGAAGACAATCTTAAATTCAAATAAAAACTGTAAATAGTTAATTGCTACAAATTTCATCAAATAAATTCCACTAGATTTTATATGCTCATCAAGATAAGTAGGAATCTATTTGTATATAGTATATACTATGGATAAAAAGGGAGAAAAAGTTGCAAACTTTTCCTTTGGAATCTTTCATACACATTTGTGTGGTACACAACAAAGTACCTTTTTTAATTTATTACTTAAAGTTTTTCAAAAACTTTACCAAAATGAATTTGACAAAATAGAGTTGAGGTTTCGAAAATGAAACCAAAATGTTCTAGATTTTTTGGTTCTCTCGATGTTCGATGTCAGCTTTGAGGCTCGATAAATTCATATTCACTCAGAAAAATCTCATTTTAGAGGTAAAACGTTTCTTTTTAATTACAGTTTCATTCTCAAATCTCGAACTTCAAAAGTTGAGTCTTTTAATTGAAAATGAAAATATATTTACCACCCTACAATTATGTTTAGCAAAACAGTTCAAACTTCAAACAACATCATTCTCAAGTCTCGAACTTTAGAAATCGAAACTTCTAATAAATGATGAATTAATACTTACCATCCTACCACAACATTTAACAAATACAGTTCAAACAACAAATTTTCAATTTACAAACTCAGTTTTTAGAAATTAATGCAAAGCAAACTGCAACCATCTTGTCATAAGTTATTAAGCAAATTGCAACCATCTTGTCATAAGTTATTTTAAAACGAAAAAGACTTAAATATGTCATTGAATATTTTATCAATCGTTAAAATTTTAGTTCATTTATATTTTTTTTGTTTGAGAAAAGTTCATCTATGTCATTATTTGTAAACCAAAAATATTTTCGGTTTTGCAAAACTATCTTTACACGTGATCAATTATGATTCAACCACATCATTGTTTAAATTACTTTTTAAAAGAAAAAAGGCTCAAATACACCATCGAACTTTGAGAAAAAAGCTCATTCATACCATCTATTAAAAGTTTGGTCATCTATTAAAAGTTTCAGTTAATAAATAATTACATGAATTAGCTTTTTCTCAAACAGAAATATATAAATTAATTAATTTTTTAACGAACAACATAAATGAGCTTCCTACGGCAACCAAAGAAAAATGCCAAGTTCATTGGATTCTAACTTTGAGGACAGGATACATTAATTAACAAGTTGGCAGGAAGTTTTGATTACTTCAGAACAATCATTATACACTGTCCACACCTAAATTTTCTTCTATCAAGAAAAAGTCAAAGTTCAATTATATGAAATAATTAAAAGAACAGAACTTTAAATTATAAAATGACACATGAAGCTAAATACATACATGGTCAAAGTTCATAATAAGTGAAAGTACAGATGCAGGGAATGCATTAAACTTAAAAGTCTTTAATTAAAATAAAATAAAATAAAAATTACATCATTAATGAACATGCCTATATTCTTGCAGAATTTCTCTATTTTCACACATAGAAAAAGAAGATTAATTGGGAAGAAAAAAAGAGATTCTAATTTCAATGATTCATGTGATTAATTTTTTTGTTTTGTTTATCAATGTTATTTTTTTCTAATGAAGGGGATGAATCCTACATCGATGAAGGTCGAGATTCTGATAACTTATAAAGTTTGGACAATCATTTATTTTATCTGAGCTAGCTTTTGAATCGTAAATTAAACTTAAGATCTAATTAGATATGATATTATAAAGTCTGATTCGATGTGGCCCCTAGGGTCCCGTACAATTGCACAATCCTAATATTTTTGTGTGTTCAATTAAATAGCATCATATAAAATGAAACACAAAGGAGAATTTGTTAGAACTTTTTTCACACACACAAATTGTTGGTGTATATAAGAAAATCATACATAAGAATTTAAGAAGTATCCTCCTTTACATTGGCGCCCCTCACCCTTCTTCGCTTTTTACGTGAACACGAAATATTTTGTCCATAACTTATTAAAGAAAAATCTTACTTGCACTCGTGTTTCTACCAATTTATCAATCACTTAATCAGGGTTAATAAATAATTATAAAAAAATTTTGAGGGGGGGTGGGGGGTTGCTTTTGACATAAGAATCCAAAGTTTTTGTTAAGGATCATGTTTGCTAATTAGTGGACATAAGACATTAATCGAATAATTAAAACATTTTTCAAAGAATCTTATCGAGCAATCAAGAAAATATTTCTTGTGCTTTGCTACTTATTTTAATTAAGGCTTAAAAAAATTAGTTATCTTGGAGCCCTGTGCCCTACATAAAGCAAACAAAAGTTAACTGAAAATAACTAAAATAAGATTGATTATTTATCAGAGATTGTGGTGAAGTGATAAATACTTTTTCATTCTTAATCAGAGGTCTCAATTCGAGTTAGAGATTGTGGTGGAGTGATAAATATTCTTTCATCTGGAGGATTTTCTTATGCGAATTCGAATTTAGTTGGGCTCCAATATGAATAGCAAACACCAGATGAAAAAAAAGATTGATTACTTAGTAATCAACAAAAATATCACAAATCTTATTCTTCACTCGCTGTCCACATACATTTATTTAATTAATTAACACATGCTAATGGTGAGAATTACGAGGTAATAGTTACAATTGTTCACATTTCAGCAAACAATTAGACAGTAATTTAAGTAAAGTAACCTTTTTTAACTGATATTATTCTCCTTATTATTATTATAATTATTTTAGCAAATCTTATTCTTTTTAGAAAATCTCTTCTTCTTTGGATGCTTTTAAGAAAAGATATGAAATGATTCACTTGAATTAAGTTAGCCTGCAACTATTTCCAAGTTTAATTAGTATTTTGAATACATTTTGCATATTTTATTATATAAGAGATTAAGTTTTATACATCGCCATTATAACAAATATTTTATATTATCATATTAATTAAAAATAAGTATTTAATAAGTATTCACTTATAAGATGTATAGTAAAATTAAATTGATATTATAATATTCTGTTTTATTTCGGTTTTTCACTTTGTATCCAGTATTTATATTGGAGTCCGACTATTTTGGATTCACGCCGCGTAAGGTCCAAATCAAAGGAAAACGCTTTCTATCAAGAATTTTTTCATGCACAAAGTTCAAACTCGAGACCTATAATAAAGGGAGGAGCAACCTCATTGGTGAAGTTATAATATGGATGTCAGCACCGTGCACATAGAATGTAATTTTTATTTTCATTATAATAAGTGCAAAAACTATTTACAGAGCAAAAACACCTTTTTAATTAAACCTTCATTACTTTAATTATGAGTCAGAGCTGCAGTAATATATTTTATGTTGTTTATAGACCAAAATTAATAATCAAAAGAACTTGGAATCCAATGTAGCATTAACTGGATCCTGTGGACACCCAGAAATTGAAAAAGATATTTAAGAAAAAGGTGCAAGCAAAACAAAAGTTATTTAAAATGTTATCTTTTTTAAAAAAAATTAATTTACTTTCTTCATTCTAAAATAAGTGTGATTTTAACTATCAAAAAAAGAGTATCTCAAAATAAATGTCATTTTAAAAAT